CTGTGAAGGAAGGAGACCAGAAAACCCAAGTGAGAGAAGTGATGGGAGGGTCCGCACCAAGGTGGGGACTGTGGTGTTCAGTACGACCCTTCTGAGGTCATCCTCTTTCTCTTGCTGCTTCTTTGTACCCCTCACAATTGCTTGGAGGGGGTAGAATTTCCACATCAAAATGGCTGGTTGGAAAAAGATTACAATGAGCACCCCAGTGTCTTTGGCCTCATCTTTTCCCTCCTTCCTTCAGAACAGCTTCTCCCTTCTTCCCCTAAGAGAGTCCCTGAGCCAAGATGGTGGCAGCGCACCACGGGAAGAATAACAGGTTTGGAGCTGGAGAACCTGGGAGTGAATTCTATGAAATGGGAGCACCAAGTGTGTTGTAGTAAAAGAAAGAGTGCTAGATTTGGGCTCAGAAGACTGGGTTTGAAACCTGCCTCTGACATTACCAACCGGGACAAATGAGGGGCCTGGACTAGAAGCTTCTAATGTCCCTTCCATCAATAAGCCTATGGTTCTAGGAATCCAGCTTGTAGCCCAGAGCTGTACTTCATGGATTCCCTCTACTCCCGCCCCCCAGGCCCCCTCTTCTCTTAAAGGAGCTGTGGATTTGGGGGTGGGGAGGAGGATGGACTCAGATTCTCAAAGGATCTTCAACAAAGGAGAGGGAGGCCTGTGCTTTCCCCTAACAGCTGCCTACATCTGGCTGGAGGCAGGGTGGTGGTGGTGGTGGTGAGGAAGAGGCCATGGGGGAGGCCTGTGATCCTGAAAGAGTCCATCTAGCTTTCTGAATCCGGCCCCCTCCCATTCCAAGCACCTGTGCCCTCCCAACTGTTCTCTGCTTTGGGTTGGAAGGTCCCCCTCGTTCCCAGGCCCAGGCAGCCCTGTTGCCATGTCTGAGGGGAGTGAGGGCCAAATGGGTGGGGGGATTAGGCTGCATCTAGCCCTTCTACTACAGTTAACTGAATCCATGGGCTGCCAGCTGGAAGGGGCTGCCAGCTGGGTTTGGGTGAGAGCCTAGACCGGGGGCTGGAGGGAGGAGCATCTCTGATAACATTCATTGAAAATCTGCAACCCCCCCCCCCATTCTTAGGCCCAAGCTGCCCCAGCCCCACCAGATCCCCTCCCAAGCCCTTGCTCAGGTTACTTGACACCAAACCCTGCAGAGACCATCTGTTCTCTAAGCCCCCCAGAGACCCACCCGATCATCTTACCTCCCCAGGCTTGCCTAGTGCTTCTTGTCCTAAGCCCAGAGGGAGGAGGGAGGAGAAGTGTAGCTATCTGAGGCTCTGCTAAGCAGGATTGTGAGGCCAACCTTCACCAGCTAGTCTGCGTCAAATCCTTCCCTGGAAACTCCCCCTCCCTTTACTCCGCCCCCACCAAGGGTCAGGTTATGAGGTGAGCCAGCTCACATCAAGGAGGGTTCAGCTTCCCCAGACACCAATGGGCATCTCCTGTAGGTGCACCTATGCTTCTGCATTCCTCTAGGCTCTGTGTGTGTGTGTGTGTGTGTGTGTGTGTGTGTGTGTGTCTGTGTATGTGTATGTGTGTGTGTGTGTGTGTGTGTGTGTGTGTAAGGGGGCAAGGGAGACAGCCCAGCATCCTAGTCATTCCCTCAGCCTACCTGGCCAAGGCAAGCAGGAAAGAGCAGAGACTTAAGTCTATATTCAACGGTGAGGGTTACCCAACTCCCAATGCCTCTCACTCCCTGACCCCCAACTCCGACAACCCCCTTCCTCTTTGTCTGTCTCTTCAGTTTCCATCTCCTTCTCTCTGTCTCTGACCCTCATTCTCCTTCAGCAGAGAAAGAGGGATGGGGGTGGGAAGTGGGAAGGAGGTTTGGAGGCCCTCCAGCATCTCGTCGTCAATGGGTGGGACTCTCGCTTCAAAGGAGACGGCCAGGCATGGAGCTTATTCTCTGCCCAACTAAACTAGCACCTACCTCCTTCTCACTGTCTTCTTTCCATAGTGACAACGCTCTTCTTGCTTGGGCCTGTGCACTCCTTCCTTGCCCCCACCTCTCATAATCAACCAGATCTCAGCAGGGCCTCTCCAATAGGTCATTGCCCCCGGCCAGTTCAGGGCCTCACCACCTCTCCCATGTACTGTTGCAATAGTCTCCATTTTCCTTACTGTATTCTTTGGAGCTCTGTAATTCCACATGATTTGAAATTGGGGTGAGAAAAGATTGATTTTTGTCCTTTTAAAACAAATGGGAAATTTTTGTACGGATCAAAAATATTTAGAATATAGGGCAGATTTTTAGTGTGAAAATAGGTTGAATTTCCGCTATTTTTCTCCAAAATTTTCCCTAATCCCCTTGTCTGAGGGTATTTTATATCAGAAACATCCCTCAGACCCACATTTATGAATTCTACAGATCTATTTCAAGACCAGAAGGGACACAGGGTCAAATTACAGAATGTTAGCACTTGCCAAGGCCTCAGGGATTATCTGGTCAAACCCTCCACATTTGTTTTGCAGATGGAGTCAACTGAGACTTGGTGACTTATTCAAAGTCATACAGCTAGAAGATGGCAAATTGAGGACTTGAAGTCAGGTGTCCCAACTCCCAGCTCCTTTCATCACGTCATAAAACCAAAGCATGATCGGGAATCCCCTGAAAGCTTCCTAACTCATCTTCCAGTTTCTCCTTCCCAAAGTATCTCATACGCCACCAATATACCAATTTTCTTAAAGAACAGCTCTAATCCTATCACTCCCTTATTCTAAAACCTTCAACCAACTATTGGATAAAATCCAGATTTCTTATGATGGCATTCTAGGTCCTTCGCAATCTAATTCTAACCTTTCTCTCCAGTCATATGTACATCTCAGTAATACCCTCCCTACAGACACACTATACAAGTCAAACTGGCCTATTTATCTTCCTCAAAAAATGGCTGTAGGTTTTCCTGCCTTGATCTCTTTCTTCACACCTTACCTGCCACCTAAAATGTCTTCCACTCCAACGCTAACCATAAAAATTCTGTTGTTGTTGTTATTCAGTTGTGTCCGACTCTTCGTGACCCCATTTGGGGTTTTCTTGGTAGAGATACTGGAGTGGTTTGCCAATTACTTCTCCAGCTCATTTTATAGATGAGGAAACTGAGACAAATAGTATTAAGTGATTTGCCCAGGATCACAGAACTAATAAATGTTTGAGGCTGGATTTGAACTCAGATCTTCCCAACTCTAGACTCAGCCCTCTATCCACTGTGCCCACTAAAAATCCTACCTGTCCTTCAAAAGCCCAATCAAATACCACATTCCTCCGAGCTAGAATGACAGAGCTTTGGGACCACTTAATCCACCCCCTAGAAAAGCAAAATGGGTTACCCAGCTATTTGAGGCCGAGAGAAGACTAGAACCCAAATCTCCTGATTCTTTCCATTCTATCCAATTCCCACTGGAGCCTTCCCTGTTTTATCCAGTTAGAAGTCTTTTCTTTGTCCATAGCACTGTTTGTAGAACCAAATGACCTTAGAGACGTAGAGCTGGGAAGAAGCTTAGAAACCACCAACTCCAGTCTCTTCATTTTGCAGATGTAAAAACTGAGGCACAGTGGTTAAAAGACCAATCCAGGGTCACACAAATATTAAGTGACAGAGGCAGATTTGGAACTCAGGTCCTTGGACTTTCAGTGCAGTGCTCATTCTGTCCTGCCATGTTGGTATAGGGAAAAAAAAAACTCTGACTTGAACTCAGACCCATAGTAATTTAAGTCCTAGCTTAGCTGTTTGTTAGCTGTATGATCTTGGGCCAGCCCCTACTTAACCATTTTCCTCATCTATGAAATGAGAACGTGAATATTTACACTATCTGCCTCCTGGAGTTTTTTTTTTTTGGTTTATTTTTTTGGTTTTTTTTTGTTTGTTTGTTTGTTTTTTTGGTGAGGCATTCAGGGTTAAGTGACTTGCCCAGGGTCACACAGCCAGTAAGTGTCAAGTGTTTGAGGTCACATTTGAAGTCAGGTCCTCCTGACTCAAAGGCGGGAGTTCTATCCACTGTGCCACCTAACTGCCCCACCAGGGTTGTTTTGAAGAAAGTTTTGTCTGTGTAGCTCCCTCTCTGATTTATTCAACACTTATTGAGAGCTGAGCAAGGTTTGGTTCTAGGTACTATGGGGGGGGTACACATGTGAAAAAAGAGAAACCCACAAAGACAAAAACAGACCAATCCCTGCTCTCAAAGAGTCCATATTCTACTAGAGAGGATAGAACATGCACCCTTGTAAGTAAAAACAAAATATATAGAAAATAATTTCAAAAGGCAGAAAACACCTAAAATTGGTGTTGGCTGGTGGGGTTGAATGGGACCAGGAAGGTTCTCAGGTAACAAGCGGCCCCTGAGCTGAGGCTTTGGAAAAGATGTGGACGGAGTACATTTGGCCATAGGGGATGACATGAGAGCACTTATCACATAATGTTCATACATTCCAGGTATGGAGGACCACGTTAGAACACTCATCACATAGTGAATGGCATTATTATGGTCATTGGTGGTGGTGGTGGTGGTGGTAGTAGTAGTAGCAGTAGGAGTAGTAGTAGTAGCAGTAATAGCAGTAGTAGTAGTAATAATGTAATAGTAGTGGTAGTAATAGTAGTAGTAGTAGTAGTAGTAGTAATGATAGTGGCGGTGGTGATAGTGTACATATTTTATCTGCCTTATCAAAAATTCATTTAGAAGAACTTTTTGAGGGCAGGCACTGAGTCTCATTCATCTTTCTATTCCTCAGGACGCCTATCAGAGTGTATTGCATATCCCAGGTACTCATTATATGTTTGTTGACTATGCAGTTTAACTCAGTGAGCACAACACATTTATCGTGGCTAGGCTGGCTGGCTTTGCAGTGCTGTACAACCAGGGCAGGGCACTGATAAGAAGCAATCTCAATATTGATGTGCCTGGGCAGTTGGCTGTCTAACTTGTGTGCAGAATATGCTAGGCTGGTTGTTGCTTCACCAAGGCATGGAGCTGACCTTGGATGCTTGACCACATCAGGTTTT